GGTCTCCTTGCTCCCTTTTCTTCAGGGCAGGGGGAGTAATAACAGTACCTGCCTCAGCGGTGGTGAGGTGTGAAACAGATAATGTGGATAGATGGGTAAAGTGGCGGGGTACTCACCACTATGCTAACAGAACAGCTGGGTGAAGTGTTTGGAATAGTGTGTGATCCCTAGTGGATGCCTGGTCAATGCTATGTCTGCCCACCCTGTCCCTTTCTCACCTCTTACCAGCTCCTTGCCCTTTCCTTCACCTCCCTCTCCCTCCTCTTGCAATCCCACCTGCTCTTTCCCTCTCTGTTTCCTTCCTCCTGTCTGTCCTTCCCTGTCCCCCTCTGCTTCTGACTCCTCCTCCCTCCTAGGATCCTTAACCTTCCCTTTCTCCTTCCGATGGCTCCTCCTTCTATTCCTTCCTTTCTGCCCCTCCCCCTTCCCCTCCACCCTGGAGGAGTTGGCTCTAGGTGAAAGCAACTGCTGTTGTTTGTCACAGCAGAAGATAAGCCCCAGCCTTCTCCTGCTGCAACCTTTGCTCTGGCCTCCCCAGGTGAGGCCCACCTTCAGAGTTCAGCCCTAGCTGCACTCTCTCCCAGCTTCCTCTGAATGGCCTGACAAGTGTCACCATGTCACCCACTTTTGGCCACATTGGTCACTGTGCTGGAACATCATCAATCTCCATTTATCAGTCTCCAAGCTCCCTGAGGGCGGAGACTTGTCTGCTTTTCTTCCCTTGTATTCCTGAGCCTTCAGGGTATCCAGACTGCATCAATAAATGACTCTACTTTACATCAGGGCAAATATGAATTAGGAAGTGTGGACTTTGGAAACAGAGTCCAGAGTCTGTAGGGAGACAGCATGACTTTGGGTAATTTATTATTGCTTTCTGAGCCTCAGTTTCTTCATCTGTAAAATAGGCAAGATGTTCACTTCCTTTGTGGATTGTGATAAAGAAGAAATGATTTTTTTTTAATTAATTTGCAACACTAGGGATTGGACCCAGGGGTCCTCTGCCACTAGCTATATCCACCGCCATTTTTTTTTTTTTTTTTTTTTAAATTTTGAGATAGGGTCTCACTAAATTTTTCCAAGCTGGCCTTGATCTTGTGATCCTTCTGCCTCAGACTTCTGAATTGCTGGGATGACAGGCATGCACTATCATGCCTAGCTGAAATAAAATCTTATATCAAATACACACTTTTGCAAGATGCTTTTAAGTTTCATTTGCATAGCATTATAGAAGTTATGAGTTAGGGTATACGTTGGGGCTTGAGGTAATTCATGATGTCATAGGTAATGTGGTTTCATGGCTCTGTGTAAAGACCCAGGACTGGCCATAAGCAGACTTGAGTCTTTTTTTTAAAGTATTTTTATTAGTTATTAATGGACCTTTGTCTATATGCGGTGCTGAGAATTGAACCCAGTGCCTCACACATACTAGGCAAGTGTTCTACCACTGAGCCACAACCCCAGCCCCAGACTTGAGTCTTTTGTAGTTCTGCTACTTCCTGGCTACTGATCTTTGCTCCAGAGGCCTTCCTACAAGGCTTTTCCACCCTTTCCCCAGGTAAGGCCCACCTGGGGGTAACACCTGCTTACGTGATATGAGGCAAGATCAGAGTAAGTGGGTTCAGTTGGAATAAACTTCCATAATGTTATTTGCTTAATATATACTTTCTTGCAAGTTTACTTTAAAAGAATACTTTAGGGCACTGTAGTGAATACTGCAAGTAGAAGGTAACAGCAAGCAAAAAACCCTGGTAGCATGAAAACAAATGTGTTTCTAGTATCGTGCCAGATAGTACCACCTTCCAAGGCTCAGACCCAGACCTCTTCAGGCTTTGTGAAGAGGGGAGGTTGGGAAGAGGTGGGTTCATGCCAGAGAGGTGGTAGCATATCTCTAGCACTCAGATTGAGACAGGCTATGCACTCCCAGGAGGACCGGGAGCCTTGATACAGGCATGTGAGTGAGTGTCATTTGGGTCACGTGTCTGGGTAGCATTCAGCCTGTAGGCTATGATTCCCATTTCTCACTTTGGAAAACACTGGATTCAATCAAAGACCTGGAGGGGACCGTCCCCTGCTCTGCCTGTCATTTGGGGCGTTGAATGAGCTGGGCCAGGTGTAGAATTGGCTGCTCACACCCATGACCCACGGATGGACCCATCATGCCTGACTGCGGAACCCCAGTCATGGTGATTTGCCTAGAGAGAGAGAGAGAGAGAGAGAACACGCCTGAAACCCTAAATTTATTGGGGGGAAGATACTCAAGAAAGTTTGTTGAGAGCCACAGCCAAAGGGGCCCCAGCAAACTTCCAGCTGCCAGCTGATGTTTGGCTCACAGGAGCCCCAGCAAACTTCCAGCAGCCAGCAAACTTCCAGCTGCCAGCTGATGATTGGCTCACAGAGGCCCAGCAAACTTCTAGCTGCCAACTGATTGGCTCCTCTGCGGTGATGCTCATTGGGCTGTTTCCCTGCCCTTTCAGACCAGGGAGCTGCTCATTGGGGGACTTCTTTTGGCTCCGCCCACACAACCCAGCCAATTGTCCTCAAGAGCAGGAGGAGTGGGGGAGGTGGAGAGGCTTTTTGGAAGGCAGTGGTGGCAGTTGGGCTCTGAGGGTTTTCCTGAGGAGCTGTGTGGTGCGTGTGTTCTAAAAATAAAGTTCATTCAAGTGGTTCCTGAATTGTGCCCAGCCAGACTGTGGCAAAAGTTCCATCCAAATGAGGCCAGGGATTGGGCTTCAGGGGGGTGTAGTCCAGTCCCATTGGGTGACACCCACTCCCAGAGCTGTAATTCCTTGCTGAGCTTGCTTTTGCACCATTGAAGCCAGTTCCACACCTCCATCAGTCAAGGCTAAGGGCGTTCATGGCGGCCCCCGACAGCAATTCACTCACAAGCCACCTTTGTGGACTGAGCTTTGAATTTTTTTTTTTTTTTTTAAGTGTGGTCCTGGCCGTTGAACCCAGAGCCTTACATACACTAGGTAAGTTCTGTACCACTGAGCTCCAGCCCCAGTAAAATACTTTTAGAAGAGTGTATATTACATAGAAGTAGACTCACTTTCCTCCCAAACACTCCCATGGCTCTATTTGACCCATAAGGAAAGTGAAGCCTTTCCTTCCCATCGGTCACCCACGCAGCGCACCAGGTTCTCACAGTCCCACATGTTCTCTTTGATCTTGTGGAAGTTCCTTGACGCCAGGGAACACTGTGCACTGAGCTATTATCTCCCTGAATAGTAAGCAGCAGTTTCCAAGATTAGCATGGAGGCGACAGTGCTGGTGGAGAGATTCCTGGCTCCTTTCTGCAAAGTGTCAGGAGAAGAATTGAATTAACAGGTATTTATCTAATGAGCCATCCTGCCGGCATAGAATAAGTTACCACTGCCTAGCCTTGACATTTACAGCCATCCTTTTGTGAAGGAAGAGGGCATCGGAGTTCTAAATCGTTGTGCAGAACAGCGCTTCTCAGCCCCAGATACATGTTGATGCACCAGGGAGTTTGAGAACCACATCCTGGAGGTGCCAGTTTCACTGCTCTGGGGTGTGGCCTGGGACCCAGGATTTTTAAGTCTCCTGGGTAATTCTAGTGTGTAGCCAAAGTTGAGGCCCTGTGGTTTAGTTTATGTAATCTGTCTCAGGAAAGGGAAAATCATTATAATCTGTTAGAATTACTAGAATTTTTGTGTTTCTTAAAGCACAGAGATCAAAATGCTGGGATGCCAGGGGGTGGTGGCACATACCTGGAATTTCCATGACTTGGAAGGCTGAGGCAGGCGGGTCTCAAGTTCAAGGACAGCCTGGGCAACTTAGTAGACTGTGTCAAACAAAAAATACAAAGAGCTGAAGATGTGGCTCAGTTGTACAGTGCCCCCTGGATCCAGCAATCCCCAGACCCCCCACGCCCAACACACACACACACACACACACACACACACACACTCTGCTGAGATGAATTAGGGCTGAGTTAGAATAATAGACTTATGGGGGAAGTAAGGATAAATGTCTCCAGTATATTCTTCCACATCAGCTAAATTTGTCAACCCCTCCCCATAATTATCACTCCTTATTCCATAATAATTGTTAGAAAAAATATAAATGCCCTAACACTTGAATTTGCCAATTGCTCTTTACAACCTTCTTCCATTTGCTCCTCACACTGGGAAGGCTGCCCAAGAAACAAGCCCTTTCTTAAGCTGCAGGTGGGAGTTGATTGGCTCAGCTGGAATCAGGCGCCCATCCACCCGGTCATAGGATTCTACCAGCTGCGGGGCATAGGTGCCTGCCTGCCTGGCCCCCTCTGCCTGCAGCCACAGCTGTCTTAAGAACTGGTGTTGACTAGATAGGTTCCTTCACTTCCCTATGTCCTGTGCAGAGGCTATCCATCATTAGAGCTGAACAGAGATGCAGAAAGAAAGGAGCTTGTGGGCTGAAGGTTGCCTGGATGCCTGGAGGGGTGTAGGGGTGAGAGGGGAGGTAGAGGGGTGCATACTGCTTGGGGATCTGGGCCCTGCACTCTTGCTTTGTTCCTTTTCCGGAATCCTCTCAGGTTCTTGTCTTGCCATTATGGTTCTACCTTGGGCCTGTTGCAGTTCATGAGAACACAGTTTATTTCACAGTGGCTACATTTTAATCTATTTGATGAGTTTGAAATATAGCCTTATTTTCCTTGGAGGCTCCTCCACAAACCCTCTAGTGTCAAGTTCATGCTTTTAGGTGTATTTCTCTTCTGCTTGTGAACACTGATCCAAGATAGTTTGGTTCTTACTGGTTTCAAGGGGTGGTACTGTTTGACCTTGTACCAAATTCTGGGGCTCTCCTGATGATCCCCATGTGATCTTTCCAGGTGAGAACAGCTAAGTTCCAAGTGGCTTGTGGCCAATACACATCCGATCTTGCACAAGCTCAGAGCTTGAGTCAGAATCAAAACACAGGTCTTCTGAATTTTGATTGAGTGCTTTATGTCTTCTGTCCAATGAATTTATTTTATTTCTCCACGGTTTCTTTTGTAGGGGTTCAGCTGTTGCAAAAATAATTGGTAATAATGTCAAGAAACTACAGAAGTTTGCCTCCACAGTCAAGATGTGGGTCTTTGAGGAAACAGTGAATGGGAGAAAACTGACAGACATCATAAATAGTGACCATGAAAATGTCAAATATCTCCCTGGACACAAGCTGCCAGAAAATGTGGTAAGACCTTGGGGTGAAAAGTACATTTGGTTGATTCTGCAGGTTCTGTCCAACTGAGTAGCACTCCTGACCTAGACATGGGAAAGCTGCTTCCCATTTTCCCGTTGTGTTCTACTACCAATGACTTGGTTAGTATTGGTTTTCTTGACTCTGAAAATGGGCTTTGTATTAGTTTTCTCTGGCTGCCATAACCAAGTGCCACAGGCTGAAACTAATTAATTAACTAATTAATTTTAAATTTTGGGGTGCACTCAGCTACTGAGCCACATCCCCATCCCTATTTTCTATTTTATTTAGAGACAGGGTCTTACTGAGTTGCTTAGTGATTCACTGTTGCTGAGGCTGGATTTGAACTCGGGATCCTCCTGTCTTAACCTCCTGAGCCTCTGGGATTACAGGTGTGCACCACCACAACCTCCTAATTTATTTTTTTTTATTTTGGTACTAGGGATTGAACCCAGGGGCCCTTAACCACTGAGCCACATCCCCGGCCCTTTTTAAATATTTTATTTAGAGACAGGTTCTCACTAAATTGCTTAGGGCCTCACTAAATTGCTGAGACTGGCTTTAAACTTGTAATCCTCTTGCCTCAGCCTCCTGAGCCACTGGGATTACAGGCCGGCACCACCACACCTGGCTAAAATTTATTTTCTTACAATACTGGCAGCTTGAAATCTGAGATCACAGTGTAGGTAGGGTTGGGTTTTTCCTAGGTGTCTCTTGTATATGGCTGTCTTATCCGACTCTCCATGTCATGACTGCCTCTTCCTATGAGGACAGCAGTCCTATTAGATTATGACTTACCATATGGACAACATTTGGAGTCCATTACCTCCTTAAAGACACTATTTCCAGGCACATTCTCAGGTACCGGGTGGGGGTTGGTATGTCAACATATGAGTTTGCAGGGTTCCATAGTACAGTCCATAATAAACTTTTTCCTTGGTGTTCAAAGTATGGTCACATCAGAGCTGGAGTCACAGCCTTTCCTGTGGCTGTTGGTGTCTCCTATAGCTCTTGATGTCCCCTTCCTAAGTGCATGTGATTTTGCTCAGCTTGCCAGGGCATCTAATTAAAACCAGGGTCGAGGCCCAAATTACAGATGAAGATAGAAGCAAATGAGAAAGTGTAAGGTTGGTAGTTTAAAATTCAAGCCTATTAGGTCTAGAAGAGAAAAGTACAGGTTATTTCCGGTCCTCATTCCGTTGGTTTGCAGGGGAAGCAAAAAATGAACATGGGGAGTGGAAAGGAGGGTGCCCACCCTGCTGCCTGCTGGAGGGAGTTTATGAACTTCTGTGGTCAGATTCACCTCTCAGTAGCTTCCTGAAAACCAGACTGCTGTGGCTGCCTGATTCCTATGACTTACCTGAGAGGCCATCTCCTAGGTTAATGAAGTCCCCTTTGCTGTGTCTTCATAGTCCTTCATGAACATGTCCAATGCATGCAGAGCAGGGTTGGGTGTGGGCCCAGAAAGGGGAAAAGGATGACATTGCTCTCCTCAAGGAATTGAACAGGGAGACCGATTTATAAACTAATAAATGTCGGGGAGTTGGAGGTGCCCAGGCCTAGCTTACTGAAGATTTTTATTTGGCTTTTAACTATATAGTGTTGGTTGGTGTCAAGCACTGTGCTGAGCATAGACTGTCTTGTTTAATCTTCTTAAGGGCCCTCTTTGGTGGGTGCTGTTTACTTTATTCCTGTTGTGCTGATGATCACCGTTGTGGAGGCGAGGAAACCAAGACTTGGGCAGATGAATTTGCCCAAGGTTGTGATCCAGGGCCAGCCAGCTTTGGATCTGCTTCCCAGAGGACTCACTGCTGAGCCTGCTGATCTTCTAGGCAATGACAACTCTCTCCTGTGTCACTGAACTAGGGTGAACCAGCATTTCCTTGCAGGTGCAGGGAGGAAGGATCCCTAGGACTGTGAATTGGCAAATTCAACCTCTGATGGAAAGAATAAAAGCGGCAGCAAGTGAAGGCATCAGGGTTCTCACTAATCCATCCTGGGATTAATGAGAAATGGGAAATTCTCTTGGCCCCTCCTTTTCTCACGTTTGTCAATCGCTCCTGTCCTTCTGCAGTGCATGTGCCTCATGTTATGTTCCCCCGCCCTGCTTTGTGCCAGTCCACCTGCACTGCCTGTCTACCTCCACCTGCCCCCGCTGACTTTCTGGGTCTAACTCTCTGGGTAGCCACAGTGCCTGGCCTGGTGCTTTTCCTTCACTTGATGCTCAAGGGGTGTTGGGGAAGGTGAATCTGCCAAGTGACTCTGTGAAGCTAGAGCCTGTGCCATGAATAGGAAGAATGGAGGGAGGAGACTAAACAGAGGAGGCAAGGTCACCATTACTACAGACATGCTGGTCCCACACCACTGACTCCAGCTGCCCCAGGTCCCTAGGTGTGGACAGAGGGAGGAGAGAAAGGAGGAAAAGTCTACTCCCAGGATCCTACCAATGTCCAGAGCCTTGTAGGCTCATGGAAATGAGTGTACGTGTACTCTGGAGTGGACACTGGTATGGTTTCGGATTTTTCACTGTAGTGCCCTCGGGAACAGTGGACGGTGCTCCTGGGAACTACCTGAACATGCCTAGTTGCAGAATCCCAGGGTCATAGGGAATGCGCAGTCCTTTACTCCCAAAAAGGCTTGTTTTTAACCTTTTTTTGTTCTTGCAAGTTGAAGGATGAATGAGACGTGCATTTCCATCAACACAGGGTTGCTATTTATGATGTCTGCCAGTTAATGAGCTGGCTTGAGATCGTGAGTCTTTTTAGCTTGGAGCCCCAGGATGCTGCCCACCTCACCCTTCCCCAGGTCCACTCTCATAATGTGACCCTGTCCCCCATAGGAATCTTCTCTAACAGTGATTTCACCGTGGCATCGCCTGCTCCCTGGAAGCTGGGCTGGTCTGAGTGTGTGATTTCCCCTTAGACCTGAATGGAGAGCATACTTACTTCCTGTAGTGACAGCAAGACACAAATTGTTGATCTATTTTATAGCTCTCCATCCACAGCCTGTGTTTAGAGTTCATCCAAGTATGGGGCTCTTCTGCCATCATGCTCCGGCTTCAGCTGCCTCAGTGTGACACCAGGATTTATGATTACAGTGTCCTTTATGAAATATAGTAGTCATTGCCTCTCATCTTTGTCTTCTAAGCTTTGCCAGCTTTTTTTTTTTTTAACTGCTCTGCTGAGATGCAATCCACAGGCCATACAATTCAGTGGTTTCTAGTATATTCACATTGTTGAGCAACTATCGACATAGTCAATTTTTTTAAACATTTTCATCACTGAAAAGAGACCTGTACCTTTTAGTAAAGTCACCTCCAGTGGACTCCTATGGCTCCCCAGCCCTGGGTAACTGCTAATCTACTTTCTATCACTAGAAATTTTTTTTTTGGCAATGCTGGGAATTGAACCCAGGCCTCACATATGCTAAGCCAGCGCTCTACCACTGAGCTACATCAGCCTCATTTGCTTAGTCTTCACATTTCCTATCAATGACATCATGCAATATGTGGCCTTCTGTGACTGGCTTCTTTCACTTAGCCTGTTTTCAAGGTTCACCTGCGCTATAGCATGTTGTCAGTCAGTAATTGATTCTTTTTTTAGGTGTGAATACTGTCCTGTGGTATGTGTCTTAGTTCCATTTTGGATTGTTATAACAGAATACTACAGACAAGATAATTTATAAAGGAAAGAAGTTTTTTAGCTCTTGGTTCTGGGAAGTCCAAGGGCAGCATCTGGTGAGGGTCTTCACTCTGTGTCATAACATGGCAGAAGGTGAAAGGACCAGTGAGTGTGTGCAAGAGACAAAGCACGAGGGCAGACTCACTGTATAGCCACCCTCTTTTGCAGGAACTAACCCACTCCCATGGTAACAATATTAATCTGTTTGTGAGGGCTCTGTCCCCGTGGCCCCGGTACCTCTCACTAGGCCTCACTCCCAACACCAGTGCATTGGGAGTCCAGCTTCCAACACATGCATTCTGGGGGACAAGCACTCAAACCATGACAGTACCATATTTTGTTTATCTATTCATTAGTTGACAGACCTTCGGGTAGTTTCCAGTTATTGGCTATTATGAATAATATGAATATGCTGTTGTGAACCTTTATGTACAATATTTTGTGGGAACATGTGTTTTCAGTTATTTTGAGCATATACATAGGAGTTTTTGGGTCATATAGCTGTTCTGTGTTTAGCTTTTTTTTTTTAGTCCCAGGTATTGGAACTCAGGGCCTCTCAACCAGTGAGCCACATCCCCAGCCCTATTTTTGTATTTTATTTAGAGACAGGGTCTCGCTGAATTGCTAAAAGTGCCTTGCCATTGCTAAGGCTGCCTTTGAACTTGCAATCCTCCTGCCTCAGTCTCCTGAGCAATCAGGATTACAGGTGTGTGCCACTGTGCCTGGCTGCCTTTAATTTTCTAAGAAACTGCCAGACGGTTTTACCAAGTAGCACCACCATTTTATATGACCACAGTGATATACAAGAGTTCTTGTTTCTGTACATCCTCGCCAGCATGTGTTATTATCTGGCCTTTTAATCCTAGCTATCCTGGTGGGTGTAACATGGTTTCTCATTAATAGTTTTGGTTTTCACTTACCTGATGGCTGACAGTATTGAGCATCTTTCCATGTGCTTATTGACTGTTGGTGTACCTTTAGAGCAGTGTAGATTCAGATCCTTTGCCCTTTTATAAAATTGGATTGTCTTTTTTTTTTTAACCAGGAATGGAACCCAGGGGTGCCTAACCACTGAGCTATATCTCCATCCCTTTTTAGTTTTTATTTTGTGACAAGGTCTTGCTAAGTTGCTGAGGCTGGCTTTGAACTTGCAATCCTCCTGCCTCAGCCTCCTAAACTGCTAGGATTACAGGCATATACCAGCATGCCTGGCTTAAAATGCATTGGCTTCTTATTATTGAGTTGTAAGTCTTCTTCATATATTCTAGGTACAAAGTCCCTTTTTAGATATGACTCACAGTACTTTTTCTCTTC